CGAAACGTCGCGATCTACATCTCAAGTGACTACATCGTGAGACAAACGATAATACACTTTATTATGAATTACATATTAAATTGTATCCAAGTTTAGAGATGGCTGCAAGAAAATTAAGTGCATTTTTTTTAAAATTTTCTTTGTATTAAAGCATAAATTTCCAAATAATTTACAATAAAAAAATGCAACATTTCAAGACAAATTATCTGTAAAATATGTGACTTAGAGATTATATTGCGTCGCAGTTTAGAGACAGAAGAAGTGCGTCTTTGTGGTTCTGAGAGCTTCATAACTTACATTGAATTTCAGCAACGATTTCCTTGTACCTTCATATCATTAACTTTACAGTGACCCATATTCGTCAAAAGAGACTTCACTTAAAACACACCAAAATGGGGTGTAATCATTTTCATGTATTTTTCGTGAGTTCAGTAGACAATATTTACAACCAAGACTTCATAGCCTAATTTAAGAGGGATTAAATAAATAGAATTTGGAATTGACGTTTTTTTTTTGTACTAAACCCTTCAGCAAAAGTTCAGCAAAGTAATGAGAATTTAATTTCAACACAAAATGGATTCTCTGATGCAACTATTTCAGACATTTGAGATTTTATTCCTTTTGGACATCTGCAAAATGTCCCACTGAATCACACAGTGAAATCTCCATTTTGATTTCTAAATTCATCAATCATCATTTGTAATAATTCTGTACGGTCAAAGTAATGAGAGTTTGGCAGAAATGAAAATTAAATCGTTTTGAAAACTCGCAACTTTTTGGAACTCCATAAAATGCCAACGATAAAACCACTGAATAACAAAGTGGAATCACCATTTTCATTTTCTATTCATCAATCTCTTATAAGAAACGATTTGATAGAAGTGATAGAAACCGACGATTCGGTGCATCTTGCGCCATTAGCAAGGTTACTTAATTTATGATAAAAAGCGGTTTGTGAAGAGGCTAAGTTGAAGCGAATTTGCATAAAAGAGTGCCAAGCTAATTACATGAATACTTTAGCACGAAGAGAATCAGACTGTACATTCAGTGCTGGTTTAAGATCTTGAATACACAGCATTTCATTGACAGAGCAGTCAAATTTGTTCGTGCATTTCTTGATTACACTGAAGCGTGCTAAGAAATTGTTCGCAACAGCAGTGTTACATTAATTATGTAACCCTGATAATGGCGCAAGATGCACCGAAACGTCGGTTTCTATCACTTATATTTCTTGTCTCATGTATTCATGAATCATTCATTTTAATGCCTTATTGTCAAAGTAATAGGAATTCAGTGGAAATCAAAACTAAATCTCTTTGATGGAGGTGATGGACAATTGACATTTGGGAACTTAAAAACACCCCTCCCTCATGTCCTGAAGAACTTTTGAATAGCAAAGTGCAGCTTACCGTTAATTATTTCTTTCACCAACAATTCATTTTTAATTAACACTTGCACATTGCACTTGAACTGACGATTTACAGATTCATCAAAACAAAATGTTTCAAACTATTTCACTGCCAGTCATTGTCATATTTTCCAAGAATTTTGCAGATTTGGGTAAATTGCAAAATGTACTGTTTTCAAATTCATGCTGAAGGGATAAGTGTTAAGAAATAAAATTGAACGGTGAAGTCACATTTGTACCAATGCGCCACTGTACAGTAACTACGTATACAAATACCACAAACATGCATAGCCAAACAGAGGTCGAATGTAACTACCAGAAATCGCAAGCAATAACATGCATTTTAAATAGACTTGTTGAAAGTGGATAACACCTTAAAGAAAAATGCAAATAATTTGAATAAACATAAAAATGAATTCTTTGAAAAGAATTGCAGGCAAACCATAGAATTTGTAAAACAGCTGTTGGAGAGTAATAATATTTACTCAATAATTTTATTCAAGTTGTCAACTATAACCACCACTCCTAAAATCATTTATCAATTTGCCAAATTATATTCACTTTCTTAGCAATTAATTTATCAAGACACTGTGGTCACAACAGCAGAGTTTTTGTTCAGCATGTCAATAACAATTCATTTGACCACAAAATGAAGTCTCTTGTTGTTTGTTGTTTTGAAATGGTTAATAAACAGAAAGGAAGTATGTCTAAAATTTTCTTCATAATTGGACTGTGGAAATATTTTTATATAATTATACATGCACATGTATGTAGAACAAGAATTTAGTCATCTACTTGCAGAAATGTTCTTACACTCATGAAAAATTACTGTATTTCCTCAGTTGGCCCCTTCCCTCTGTAAACAGTCCAACCTGCCCATTTATTTTTACTTGTTGTTCTGTACCCCTATCACGGATAAAAGCAGAATTATACCCTTCAACCAAGTAGTTCGGGCTTGTAGTTACCGCTGTTGTAGTCTTGCCTTGTCTGGCCTTGTCTCATAGGTTTGTGCTTAACACAGGATTAACCTCATTGCACCTTTGCCCCTTGGACAGAATTGTCCAAGAAAAAAAATACTATGAACCCCACCCCCCAAAAAACAATATTTCTTCCATTTGTGTCAAAGATTTATTGACCTGTGGGAATTCCTTCCTGACAACCTGCCTTTTAAGTTTATCTGCAAACCCCCATCTATAGAAATTGTAGTTTTGTAAAATTTTTCTGAAGGCAAGGAAGCATACAAACCCCCAGATGTGTTATGTTACCTCTGAGCTGGCAAGATTGCCATGTGGTGTAGTAAGATTCACCCCTTCCCCCAAACCACGCCGATGCCAATGTATTTTAATTCTAATGACCTAAATGGCAGGGTATTGTCTAGAATGTGAAAACCAATCAGGGCTACAGTACACATCTTTTTCACATTATCACAGAACAAACCTTTTCAATCATCCTTAGGCCCACCTATAATGACACCAACCCAACCCCTGGCCTAGTGCAATTTTTTAACAATGACAGAGATTGCCTTCTTGGTTGAATTTTTTTATTTGGAAGAGGAGAAGGGGGTGGGGGGAGGGAAAGCAGTGTTTAACAGTGAGTATCAATAAGAATTTCCTTTTAACTCCTTCTATCCATTATCACTAAGTCCCAATTTCCTTTCTTTCCCTGTTTTGATTCATATATATGGTGGATGATCATATAAGCAGTGACCCAGCACTCTTTCAGCCATAAATTTCTAAGCCCTCCCAGTTGTTGTCAAAAAGGACAGAATTTCCTGATGGTGTCAACGATCAATACAGATCATCTGACTGTTTTGTACAATCCCAGAATTTGAGTTGGAAGCATTGATTATAATGAGTCACCATTCTAATAAGAAAGTACTTCCAAATCCCCTTTTTAACGTAAAAAAATTGTCGTTTTGAAATGTTATGGTCTGAGGTGGTATTAATTAAAACTAATTGAAGAACCTTTTAAGGCAATACTATTGACCCCTTCCTCCAAAAAGCTTCCCCTCTATGCATGTATGGGCAAAAAAAGGAAGTCCCACAGGGATTTCAAGGAGGAAATACAGTAAAAACACAGAATAAAACCAAAAGAAATGTTATCCACTTTAAAAACTATATAAATTTACTTACTGAGCCAAAGCAGTTTAATTTATAATTTCCAAGCAAGCATGTCTGTGATACTTCAAAATAAAAAGCAGAACTTGGTTTACATTAAGGTATGCAATGATCAACTCAAAACTAACCCTTAACCTGGGGAACACTGGGAAATAATAATGAATCACGAAAAGGCTGGAGATTTGGAGGGAGGGTGGGGGGAGAGGAATTGAGAAAATGACTGTCCCATTTTGAGGTGCCAATAGGAACAACTATCCAGTTGCCAACTACAACGAAAAAAAGTATCATTCAGTAGTTTGTCTAGTGCCAAAGGACTGATGCTTTGAAAACCTGAGTAAAAGTCATCTTGGTCAAGTGAAACATTGGTAGTCAGTTGATCAGGAAATGTCATTACAATGTTATATCAATTTGCTGTAATGTTGTTGGCTGTGTCAAGCCATTAATATGTAACTTAGGTAGTAATCAGTGACTGATCAGTTATGGCCTGATTCAATTGGTTTATTTTTGGTCATGCTTTTGTTGAGGCTGCTGAAAGAGTTCACATCACATGGATCATGTGAGTTCTGTTGAGGTCCAGAAATACTGTGGTGACTACTGTATGGTGTTGGTACAAGTTAACAAGTGTCTGTTCTAAGTTAGTGTGGTGGTCAGTTGTTGAAAACGTGTTATACTATGGGTTGCAATTTGAATGGAGTTAGGTCAGTAGTTTGGTCTAGTTGTTTTAGTTCAAGCTATACAAAAAGAAGCCTTCTCATTTTCTCCATTTTTTTATTCCCCAAGTTTTCCCTGATTTTGAAAAACGAAATTTTTTCTAACTATTTTTGGCTAAAACCCCTGAAGGAACCAAGTTAAGTTTTGATTTGATCACTGCATAAGAACACAAGTGTTTACCCGGTCCTGGATTGCAATAAAATTATCAATCTAGAATAAGCTTGTGGATAACATCCTCCTCTTGTCTTGTCCTGAGGTATTTTGACTTCAGCTGTTCAAAAGAAGAAAAAGAAAAATTTAGATACTGTTAAGTAAAATTATTTATCGTGTAGTGGCATAACACTAGGTGAAATGGTCCCCACATTAAGGTGCCTTCCTTACATCCTTGAGTTATGTTCTTGTACACAGCACTGTACTCAAACAGTAGCCTGCATAGCTGGGGGATCAGAATAGTTTTCTCTTTGGCTTGACAAATTCTTTTCAAAAAGTTTTTCTTCCATGAAAACATTTTTATTTCATTAAAGTATCTTTAAAATATCTTTTTTCCGGACCATGAATAGGGATAATTGTTGACAAAACAAACCATGCTATCCACTGGATAGTGATTTATCCAGTGGATAGCATTATCCATATTTCGAGCAACCCAGGCCAGGTATAAATAATAAGTACCCATTCTGTCCTTAACATATAATATAGCTCGGATATAGCAGGTAAAAAAGTTGGACCAGTTCAACTTGAAATGCCAGTCTCACTTACATCAACTTGGATCATAATAATAATAATACATTTACAGTAAATTGAAGCTTTTACCACGTGAGGGTCAACAATCCTCTCAAAGCTGGGCCAAATCAAGAAAGACTTGCTCTGTTTCTCAGTCTGTGTTATCAAGCCGCCTTTTTGTATTCTTAGAGCCAGTTACTCTCGGATCATGTCGCAAACTCGTGTGTCATGCATGGGATGACCATTTGAATTTTGAAGGGGAAGGACTGTGATTTTAAAAAAAAGTTCCTGCAAGCATAATTGCACCCAAAAAAATCCATGCACCTGCCCACTACCAAAAAATTTCATGCATACTCAAAATATCATGCATGTATATATCCAAAAATATTGGTAATCCAAAAGGATCTGTGACTGCATGGCACTGTAAACAGTTCAAAAGTTATAAAAAGTAATAATTCAAAATAA